ACTCCACCAATTCAATATGGGGAAAACAAAGCCTCGTCTTAGAATTGAGTATCAAGTGAAAACGTAGCCAGAAGTGGTGGCAGGAATCCATTAGATGAGGCACAGAGCAGCACAGGATAGATAAGATGTGCAAAGATATAAGGCAGTGTGGGAACCAGGGTGAGGAGGGACCCTGTGCACAGGCACAGGGCAGCACAGGACCCAATGTGGAGGCACAGGGTGGTGCAGAACTCGGGGTGGTAGGGAACCCAGTGTGAAGGCACAGGGCAGCCAGGAACCAGTGCAGAGGTGCCTGACAGTGCAGCAGGCAGCTACAGGGAAGCAAGTGGCTGGGGCTGTAGGCATCAAGGCAGGCAAAATGTGGGGGGCCAGTGGCAGCAGGGAAGGCAACATGGGGACCAAAGTACAGGGCTCAGAATCCCTGTTCCTTTGCCACTTGCCTCCCCACCACCTGCCCACCCAGCTTCTGCTTTCCCCAACACTTGCCTCCGTGCCACTGCTTTCACTACTGCAGTGGTGGATGGGGACAAATGGATGTAAGACAGCCCTCTGATAACAAGATTTCATACATGGAAAATTATAACAAATATATACTGTTCCACAGATAGAATCTAATTACTGGGGGGTCATCTTGAATTCTAAGTCATCTTGGATTTGGGTAAATATAGTACTTAAAGAAGCTGGATATCTTAAAGTCTGCAGGGCCAGATAAGATGCATTGTGGAGTACTCAGAGAATTGGCTGAGGTATTTGCAGAACCACTGTTATCTTTAAGAACTTAGGGTGATGTCCCAGATAACTCTAAGGAAGGAAAAGAGGAGGATTCTAGAAATTACAGTCTGACCTCAGTAGACAAAAATATTATGGAGCATGTCATAAAGGTGCTGGGAAACCAATTCAAAATTAATCCAATGAAATTCAATAAGAACAAATGCAAAGACTTGCACTTAGGATGCAACAATCAGATGTGCAAATACAAACCAAGAAATGATTAGCTAGACTGCAATACTGCAGAAAATGATCTGGGATAGTGGGCCATAAACCCATAAGCCTGATCCCAGGCATCTGACTTGGGCCCTTTGCTGCCCAGATCTGGCTCTGTTCACTGCTCTGGCCCAGCCCAGCCTGGCACTGCGCTGCCTGGATCCAACCCCCATGTGCCAAATTCCAGGCCCATGGTGTCACAGCCTCTGGCCCATGCCACCCTGGCCTCATGCATCTGATCTATATGCAGGGCCATGCTATCCAGCTTACTGGGCTCATCACTGGTCCAGGACTTTGGCAATGGGGAAGCAGCAATTAACACGGCCATTGCTCCCCTGCTGCCAAACTTTTGGATCTGTAGGAGTCTTGGGGGCCAAAAGACACAGCTCCATGGCCAGGGGTTGAACACCCCTGGTCTCAATGTCTTGAAGTCCTTTCTAGCCTTATTTTTCTATGATTCTGTTATTGAGACTAAATGTTGCCACTATTGCTTCAAGAATGTTTATTTTCATATGTTTTGCAGTGTATTTTTCTAACTTTAAACTTAAGGGTCTTTTTGCAGTTGTAATCAACTCTCTAACTGAACCTACAAACCAGAGCCATGAAAGTATAGTTATACTTGTTTAAGAAAAGTCAAATGTGAAATTTTCATTTCCCTGAAAATAAATCACATGCCCCTTGGGTAGTTTATTTCAAGTTCAAGCAAAACTATCACAAAGACCGAACTTTGACATAAATTATGAAAATAAAAGAGGCAGTTAAACAATGAATGATACAAACAACTCTGGATGGCATTTAACTTAAGTATTAATGGTCATACTGTTCTTGGTTTTACTGACGATTACCAGCCAAGCTCTGGAAAATCTGTGTTGTTAGGAACCTTTACAGAGTTTTTTTTTATCGAAGCCAATTTACAATTAGTGGCAAATTATTGTTCATTTCTTTGGAATCCATTTTAATGAGACCACTTTGAATAGAGCCTGAAGTTATTCACGTGACTGTGACATGGAATTCCAGGGAAAATCAGTTTTAACAGCAAGAAGTAGCAAGGTATTTGTATGGCAAGCAACGATGATAAAAAGTCAGAACCAGACATAATGTTTTCATCAAAAAACTTCACAAATATTAGCCAACTGATCTTTTTAACATGTTGTGTATAGCTCATCTCTTTCAGTAACTGTATGGCAGTGGTTATCCTATTAATTCTGAATGCTGTGATAAGCTTTTTATCTCTACCTTCAGCAAGCAATAACAGCAGAGCATGGTTCCAATGCTCACATGCTATTATGATATGAAAAGATTCAGGTGGAACAACGGTAAAGGGCAGGACACCAATACCAACTGGCAGCCACTGTTGGGGCAGGCTCTAGCACTGAAGTGTGGCTACTGGAGGGTGAGGCTCCAGAGCTGGCTTGCCGTGTAGCATAAGCCAGACCTCAAATGCTGCTATGCAGCACTAGGGAGCATATCGAGGTGCAGCAAAATCCTTCAGGAAAAAGTTGAGGACAGGCCAGGGATATTATGATAACTGCTGGTGAATGAGGAGTAGAGTCCTACCTACCATGGTTGGGCTCTCCAAATTGTGGGGGCAGCTGCTACATCTGCAGCCTGCAATGCAATGCGGCGGCTAGTAAAGCGACCAAAATGCTGGCTTGCATCCATAGATGCTTCTCAAGCAAATCCCGGGACGTCATTCTCCCCCTGTACTCGGCCTTAGTGAGGCCACAGCTGGAGTACTGTGTCCAGTTTTGGGCTCCACAATTCAAAAAGGATGTGGAGAAGCTTGAGAGAGTCCAGAGAAGAGCCACGCGCATGATCAGAGGTCAGGGAAGCAGACCCTACGATGACAGGCTGAGAGCCCTGGGGCTCTTTAGCCTGAAAAAGCGCAGGCTCAGGGGTGATCTGATGGCCACCTACAAGTTTATCAGGGGTGACCACCAGCATCTGGGGGAACGTTTGTTCACCAGAGCGCCCCAAGGGATGACGAGGTCGAATGGTCACAAACTACTTCAAGATCGTTTCAGGCTGGACATAAGGAAGAGCTTCTTTACTGTCCGAGCCCCCAAGGTCTGGAACATCCTGCCACCGGAGGTGGTTCAAGCGCCTTCATTGAACACCTTCAAGATTAAACTGGATGCTTATCTTGCTGGGATCCTATGACCCCAGCTGACTTCCTGCCCTTTGGGCAGGGGGTTGGACTCGATGATCTTCCGAGGTCCCTTCCAGCCCTGATGTCTATGAAAAATCTATGAAAATATTTCTTCTGAAAAAAAACTAATGCATAAGTTTAATAGGGTTGGACTGATGTTGCCATAATGCATAGTGTAATTTTTAAAAATGTCAGTAATTTGATTATGTACAGAGGTTGAAATGCAACCTAGAAATCTTGATTAGCAATCACTGCAACCTCAAAGTTAATGATTGCTAATGATTTATTAACAATTGCAGCTAACCCAAAATGAGTTCCACTAGCAATTGGATGAAATTATAAAGGAAATTACTGTGCCATGGTTCACTAGATAAATTATTCACCAAGTGTTTATTTATAGAAGTAAATTGCACAAAGAAAGCAGCACAACAATTACCAAAACTAATCACTCCTCGAACTTGTGATTTTGCATTTTGAGTTGTGAGATGGACAGACATATCCATGAAAAAAGCAGGTGAGATCCAGTACCTGATAATGGGTATTAGCACAGAATGCTGGATGCCTCATGACTGGAAAATGTTCTATTTATATTACCTAGTGATGCTCTAGTTTTAAATCAGAACACAGGATTGTAACAATACAAAACTCTGTATTTTTTATTTATAAAAGCTAGGGCATGGGAATGATTCATATAATTAGCATTTTACTGTTTTAGAGCCCGGTCCTAAAATGAAAGGCATGCAGACAAACATGTAGCCCACAGTGATAATCTCCGTGTATCAGTCTTCATGCAGAGATCTGTCATTCTGTGCTACATAAACCACATTCTGGACTAGGTCTTGGATGTGTATTTGCTTTGGGTAGTTGTTTTGTTTGGGTTTTTTTTGTATCAGTGGGAGGTAGAAATTGCGCTTTTTATGCTTTAAAGAAGACACATGGTATAAACAGGAAAAAGTGAAGTAATCGTAAATTAAAAATGTAACAGTAAAAAAAAGATGTTTTTCTATTTTATAGAACACAAACTTATAAACAGAACTAAGAGTTTTGTTGTCATATGGCTAGATTTAACTTAATAAAAGAATATATTTCTGAGTGAATGGATGATTCAGATGGAAAAAAATGTTCCAACTAATCAGCATCTGGTGCAGAGTATTATTATAACACATACATTGTGGTTTCTGGAAGAACAGTTTGGCTTTGTAATCAAGTGTGGGCTGTGGTGGGAAAAAAATGACTGAATTATACTTAATTCAGAGGAATAATATATTTAAAGCAAGACAAAACTGTATTATGACATGGTTAAGGGAAAATCATGCAGAGATACTGGAACTATTTTTATACCAACAACGCTGCTGAAATATTGTACAACCCTGGTGTTCTAGTAAGATTTTGTCCTATCCACATAGGCAAACAAAACTGTTACATCACAGTGGTAATACTAAAATGTCAATATAATTTGCCCCTTCACAGTGGCATAGGCTGGTCTAACATGGCTGAAGTCATAAAACAGCATTCACAAGAAACATCAAATTACACAGAAACTCTAATTATCTTATTTGTAAATAAGCTCTTGATTATTTTTGATGCACTGCTTTCCCTGTCTTTGGTGTTCACTCACTGCTTATAGTATTAATGTCATCAGCACAGAAATCCAATAAAGTCCTGACAAATTTAACACCCTCCCTCCCCACAAAAAACCCTCCCCCATATTTCACTAATGGAATGAGTATCCCTCAATTTTTTTAAAAAGCTTCTTAAGTGAGAACACTAGCGGATGATGACCCTTTTATCTGACTGGAAGGAAAGGTCTGAAATTTGTTTGGAAAAAGAGGGATCATATAAAGACCTATATCTAGGTGAGGTGAAATTGGTTTGAAAAAGTTTTCCTGGAAGAGAGTGATTTGAGTGCATGTCAGCAAGGCAAGGACAAGATAGAGGTTGCCTCAAAAGCTTAAGTGGCCAAGAAGCACACTTTGATGTTGGTAGCAGAAACTTAGCCTCAGGCTGCATGGGTTGCAGTGCATTTTATTAGCATACAGAGCAGCCCACATCTGGGCCTGGTTAAATGCCAAGATCTGGTGCAATTATCAATAGACTTGTTGTTGTTGTTGTTGTTGAACATTTAAGTAGGCAACCATAAATCCTCTGGATCATGGTGTACATGTAAAAGTACATGTAAGGTGTACAGGTCAGATGCCTAATGAATATCTGTGGCTGGCAAGCCCAATTCGAGAGTGTTGTTATAAGTTCCACAGATCCATATGTTGTCTGAGTCAGAGTCTAAGTTTACAGCATGCTTCTTTCTTCTTCCTCGCTTTACTTCTACCCTCTGGATCAAAGTTGCTTCATGTTGAGCTGCACCCAGTGCCAGATGTTCTCTCAAGATGTTGTTGAACCATGTGCTCTGAAATGAGATGTAGGGGGACAATATTTTTTGTATGGGAGGGGAGATTGTTTAAATAATTTGCAATATAAATGATTTGCTGTGACATCAGACCTTTGTTCATTGTCCATCTACCAGATGTTGGGACTGAGCCAGATTTCCATTCCTTGTTAGACAACACTAGAAGTGTTCAAGAAGAGACGGAACAGTCACTGTACAGGAATGATCTAGGCACAGCTATGCTTATGTTCTATTATGGGTATTTCCCATGCTTCTGGGCTTTGCTAGTTGCTCCCACCCCCACTTTCTGCTACGTGTGTCAGGATGCTTTTAAGTCTTCCTCAGAGGCATTGGGTGTTGGCTACAGCCAAGGCTGGGGACTTTGACTGGGATGTGCCAATGCTCCTGGTGGGACCAAAGCTGGAGGTTCCTAGCTGAGGCATCTTGCCCTTCTGCTCAGGGTCAGACTAATCACCAGGAAGGAATTTTACCCCATCGTCAGGCTGGTATAGACTGTGAGGGTTTTTGCCTTCCTCTGTAGCAGGGGGTGTGGCCCTCTACCTGGTGTCTCTTGAGCATATAATGACAACTTTTCATAGAAGCAGGACATTGGCTGCCATAGTTCCCCTGCTTTACCTGTGGCAAGTTAGGGTATTAGGTTTGTGTTGAGGGTAGTCTTATATAAAAGACTAAAGTTTAGATTATGGCTTGTATGGGATGGTTTGGATAGAGATGATCCTGCCTCAGGCAGGGGGTTGGACTGGATGCAACAGCTGGAGGTCCCTTCCAGTTCTTCTTGTCCATGAGTTTATGAAAAAAGCATTTTGAGTTTCTGAGATACATACCAACTATATGCACTAACAGTAATTAATCTTCTTATTGTAACAGATTATATCATAGATTAAATAAAGGTAGAAAGGATTTTGCTATGTTGGAAAAAAGCCATCACTGTACCCTGGCACTCTAGTCCTCTATCCAGGACTGTCAGAATGTAAGAAAACAGAAATTAAAGTTTGCTTAGCTCATTATGGAACAAAAGGAACATGAGGAAGCATTAACTCTGTCTTTCAATCTTAACTTCCTCAGAAGCAAGATTTGTTGCCTGTGCCAGTTGGAAATTTCCATATACCTCTTACCCTATCCCAAAGTAATAAAAGTCACATTTCAACCCAACAAAAAGTAGCTCTGGTGAAATCTTGCATTTAGGAGTATAACTTTATCAGCAGTCGTTAGGAGTAGCATATTGCTCCCTTTACAATTTATAGAGAGGGAATTCTTATGCTTCTTGATATCTTTCTATTGTTACATTTATAGTTTTACTATGTAAACATCACCACCCCAAACTTAGCAAAGAACCAGCCTCACCTGAAATGGCTTTTAGTTTATAGTAACCTGAGGGAGAGGGACACTTAGTTACATGGATGGATGGATTAGTTACACCTAGTTACGTGGATGTAAAGACTCTAGAACACTAATGCTATATATGAAAAGAAATCTTTGTAGTTTATGTCAGAGTAAGAATTTAGCTGCATGATGAGGGAGGAATAAGACAGCAAAACATACTGTGACCTACCATGGCCCTGTCCACCCTGGGCTACAGGCCTTCCAGCTACAACTTTGTTTCCATAGTGATGCTTAACCTCATAGCAGAATTCTAGCACAATTTGAATGGTCAAGATTTAGCCAGCAATTGGTCTTATCCTGAACTTTATATATCCTGCTATGCTGATTATATAACCTCTCAGGATCGCTATTCCTGCTACAAATAACTAACATGAATGTAAGTGAGTTAGAATAAGCTAAAATCTCAGCTGCCAACTTTGATAAATGCTTCAGTTTGGAGAGACCAGTATTTTGGCACCTCTCTTTTGGTTATATCTCAAAATAGAGCCAAATCTTTTGCATTACTCAATGCTCCCTGTGAGATGCTGAGTGCCTTCAATTCCTATTAATTCAAAGATCCCTTTTCTGACAGAAGTTTCTGAAGATATACTTACGATAAGGGAAATACAGGGTCCAGTTACTCTTATAACGTTCCTATTGGGAGTCTTTCCAGGTCTGAGGAAATTCAGCTCAGAAGCAAACTAGCAGACCTTCTCACACTGACGGGGTAATTTCTGACTCTATGACAATGAGAGTTACATAGTTCCCTCAGCACCAGAATGGCTCTGCTAAATTTGTCATGTAGTTGGAATGCACAAATTGAGTGGTGTCCACAAAGATAAAGTTCAAGAAAATGGCCTTAATTGGAAACCATTCTTTGAACATGCCAGAGAATTTAATAAAACTGACAAGCCTGCAATGAAAATGGTAGTAACTACAGTGACTAAGCCAATAAACAAGAAAATAAGTCTGTCAGTCAGCCAAATAACTGAGCAATAAAGAATTATTGTTTGAGCCTATTATTTTGTCTTTTATTTAGTATGTCCCAGGAGAGTCCCACTGGCTTTTATCTTGTATGCCAGAAGACCACCCTCCTGGCCATGTCCATCATGCCCCAACCTATTCCTTCAATAGGTTCCTTAAGACTTATATGGTGAGATGTTTAAGTCCTAGTCTTTTGCACATAATACTAAGAAGGAAGGGTACTTTCTCCAAGACACTATCCCTTTATTCTTGGATCCCACAGAGGTCCTCTAAGGACTGAAAATCTGTGGAGGGGTTGAGAAGGGCAGGAACAGGGAAAGCAAAGCAAAGCCATGTGCTACAGTGCTATATGGCCATCAACTCCACCGAGCTTCAGCTTCATTGCTAGAGAACATGATGAGGAGTAGGAAGCCCAAGAGCTGATGTATGAGCCCCTAGCAATAACTGATTAAAAATGGTCCTGCAAACCCTTACATGGTTTATGCACGCAGGTAGTTTTAGTGCATTCAGTGAGAGGGTGCATAAAAATAAAAGCTAATTGCATTCTCAAGTGTTTGCTGGATTGCACCCCGAGCAAGACAGCTCAACCACAGGATAGAAAGAAAATGTGTCTATGGCAAAAATGGATGGATAACAGGATTTGCACTAACTACTTTGCTATTAACCAAACAATGGTTTAGTCAAACATGGTAACCTTTTGATATGGGAAGCACACTAATTGCATAACTATGTTAAGCTACAGAAACTACCCAACAAAACTTCAGACTTCAAATGCATAAATATTCCAAATCTGCCAGCTCTTCTAAGCTTAGAAAATGTGAACCCAGAGACATGAAGTGAATGGTTTATTAGATTATTATACCTCCAGAGAGAAATGGAATATATGTTCTCCCTTACACAGGGAGAATTAGGCACTTGGAATGGGATTCAAAGCACTGAGGAAGCAGCTGCCTAAAATCAGTACCTTTAGCCTGCTGCTGCCTACAACTAGATGGGAGAAAAGGAAGAGAATAAGTCTTAACAGATGCCTCTCAGGTACCTTTTTCAGAAGTTCAAGGAGGCACCTCCATCTGCAAGGATCCACAGCTAGGGACCTTCTCCTGAAGACAGGTACTTGGACCTTTTCCTTCAAAGAATAGAGCAGGGCTTACTCTTTTCTTTTAAACTATGCCTGGAGAAGGTAGTGCTGATGCCGACACTGATCACTTCAATAGCATAGCTTGGGGTGGCTGAGTGAGGCGTTAGCCCTCAGCATCAACTATCAACTTAATGTGGGTGCAGAATGGCACCTCCTCGACTCCCAGCAGCAGCCGCAACAACCCCATGCTACAGCAACTGGGTACATGGACACTGCACTGCTGCTGTAGCAGCCACAGACAGAGCAGGCTGTACCAACAGCAGTCAGGGACTTTTTTGAGTCCCTGGAACAGGTCAGTGGTGGATTCTCAGGGTACAAACCCTGCTAGTTGCAACTCAGCATTACCTTATACAATAACCTAGGGGTTAGAGTGCTTTCCCAGGACATGGGAGGCCCAAGTTCAATCCCCCCTCTTCCTGGTAAGGTTCAAGCTTGGATTCCCTCATTTCCTTGGAATGTGCCCTAAGTAGTATGATATGCACTGTTCTAGAGTGAAGATTCTCTTCTCTCATAATGCTGTGCCTCTTTCCAGAAAATAATTCAATATTCCTTGGACAAGACAGACTATCCACTAAAGATTGTAAGACTCTACTGATGAGGGCATCTATTGTGGGGAGGGACTGCTAATATTGGGTCACTGCTCCAAAAACTGCTTTGGCATGTATTTCATATTAAATAGTATGGATACCTTACTGAAATAGTCCTGGCAGCAGAGATCAGAGCCAAGAACTCCCTTTTCCCTGGTGAGTATTCTTACCAGTAGGCTACACAATCAGACTCCATCCTGTGCCTTAGTGAATCTGGATTTCTTTGATGAACAATGGCAGTTTCAAAGGGAGGGGTAGTGACTATCCTGACCCAGACCAGTGCCCACAGCCTGGTCAACAGGGCACTTTCCCAGGTGGTGGGTTTGAATGCTTTCAGACAGAAGAAGGAATTAAATGGGCAAGTGCTCCGGCCAATAGGATATTCTATCAAGTGGAACTAGCAACACCACAGCCACCACATGATTAAAAGGCAGTGAAAGTTGCAACTGCCTTTTGTGAGGAGTCTGATCCTGTCAGTAATTATTAGGCACTCTATGAGAACAATTGCCAATCATGCACTTCAGGGACTTCGATGGAACAGTACCTAGTTCCCAGTGCCAGTAAGGATTAGGCATCAGATAGGCATTGAGCTACTCAGCCCTGGGGCAGTTTTTCTCTGGCAGAGGCACAACCTTAGACATCTGGGAAATTTCCAAGTCAGAAAGTAAAGCACCTCTGAAGGGAGGTTGGCTGAGCAGGGACTTGCAGGACTACATTTTGTACATCAGCATCTACATTCTGCCTAAAGCATATTCTTGGTTCTTAAGGACTTCGCTGAAAGTAGCTCCAAGTTTACTTATAGCCCAGACAGACAGTGATGCAAAACTTACCCCAATGACAAAACGCCATAACTGAACCACTTAAGTCTCCAACTATGACATTATTAAATCGAAACTGCTATTTGATGTCCAATGGACAGCAGCTCTAGT